ACCACACCCCCCACGCTCTTACGAGAGTGGGTGGGTAGACATTAACCAAGCTCGTTCCCGTGCTGAGACTTTCGCAGGATTGCGATTATTCTTGCTAACAGATACCGCGTCTCGGCATGCAAGCCTCGGACTCCCGCAACGCTCGACCTCTTCGGTCCGCTCGATGGCAATATTCTCGGGGGCCTCCTCCTCGGCTTTGGCATGGCATTGACCGGCACCTGTCCAGGAACGTTGATCCCGCAACTGGTGGCAGGCGTGCGGTCTGGTCCGCTGGTCCTCTTGGGGGGAATTCTGGGCGGCATACTGTTTTCGAGATTCGGCAAGCCGCTGCTGGGAAAGGTCCGGGATGGGAACTTGGTGGACAGACCGACAGTATTCCAGCGGTTGAAAGCGAAGCAGGAAAACGCGACGGCAGTCTATGAGGCAGTGTGTCTGGCAATCATTGGAAGCTTGAATCATTACTTCCCAGACCGGGGAAGCTTGCTCGTACCAAGTGCTGTCGGGGGAACGTTGATTGGCCTGAGCCAAGCAACTTGCTTGATGTTGACTGGGAACACCTTGGGGATTTCGGGAGCGTATGAGCAGTTGGGCGATTTGTTCTGGTGGGTTGAGCAGTCCGTCCTTGGAGGCAGGAGGACGCCAAGACCATCTATCAAGGCAACATCCTTCGCCATAGGAACTGCACTCGGCAGCTGGGGCCTTCTTAAATACCTCGGAATCGCTACCCCGGCTTCGAGCATGGACATTGGTCCAATGCGAGCAGTATTTGGAGGTATCCTACTCATCTTCGGATCGAGAACAGCAGGCGGCTGTACGAGCGGCCATGGGATCAGTGGAATGTCGCAGCTTTCAATTGCGAGCATCGTTACTGTGGCATCGATGTTTGGAGGCGGGGTCGCATTAACTGCGTTGGTAGGATAGAATTAGAGCATCAGCAATCGCGTTTTCGTTCCTCTGTATGACGCTCAAGATATTCCCAATTCGTTTGCCCGAGTCCAAACAATGCCATAATCTGAATATTCGGCACGTGCAAAAATTGACGAGCGCCACTTTCTCAAATACTTACCTACTATGGTATACTCCGTGTGTTGGAATCACTCAGGTAGTGATCGTTCAGATGTGTGTACACACTGATTGAACCGGGTTTTTTTGCGCTGATGATTGAATTGGTTGATATGCTGTGAACAGATCAAAGTCGTATGAAAGGAGGGCGCCCAGCTAAAGCTCGGGCGCACAATCTCGTGACTGTTAAGCGGTCTAGTGATTCCTGTTCCAATACCGTAAGTAACTTTGTGACTACTTTGGTTAGCAGGTAAAAAGCATGGCTTGGGAACGGGTTTCAGCATTCAGAGCCAGGAGTCATTGCCAAAGTACTTTCATATATATATCCCCGACAAAGCTCCTTTGATAATACCATTTCAAACTCTTCATAACTTCCACTATCAAGAAAAGTCAACCAAACGAAACCACACTAGACCGAAACACAACCAACCTTACAGCAATACATAAACCTCAACAAGACATAACAGCACTGAAATTTACCAGATCTCGAAAGAGCGAGCCAGCCCTCAGAAGGAACTGACTACATCTTTCTGCACATCCCGTAGATTTCAAGAAAGACTAAAGATGTGCTTGATAACCACTATTCACTGCTACCACTGCGGCATCAAGCTCGGAATAAACACGACGTGGTGCTGGTATGCGTATGACATAGAACGTCTGTGCGACGGTCCCGACGTGAGGCGCTCCCAGAAATGGTTAAAGACTATACGTTGCTCCTTCTGCACCCTCAACCCGCGCCCAATACCTTCTCGCTCAGGTGCTGGCAGAATTTTTGCTGGGGCTACATCATCAGATTGAATCAATGGCGGCAATCCGGCGGGTGGGACAGCACCTTGAGTTGATTCAGATAGTTTTGTAAGAGCGGAAACGGGGGAGAGTTATTTTTAAAAATGCAAGTCTTTCTATAATTTTGATATGCTGGAGAAGTTTCCACTCGTGAATGGCAGTGAGAAATAAACATCGCGTCTCTAAGGACTTAGTCCCTCGGAGACAACAACTAAGTAAGAATCAAAACAATGCAGCGGATATCTTGAGAGTCTGAGAGGCTTGCAAACGTCACTGAAGTCAAGAAGTGACTGAAATTCTTCCCTGCTTTTACAATGCGTTAAGTACGAGTCATTACATCTAAGAACCAGATTCAAAACAATCAATATTCAAGAAGCTACTAAGACTTGCTTTCAATTGTCAGGACGAGAAAGTCTTCGTCGCTATTATCAATAGAGGAAGCTATGCCTCTGATTTGTTCCCAGAAACGCGAAGAGCTCAGAGCTACTATATCAGGCGTCGTATCAATCGGAAGCAGGATGTCATGAGGATTCCAATCCGAGAGTCTTGGCTTAACGGTCACGTGCTCGCAACAAATCAAGTTTGGTTTGGAAATGAGTTCCTATGTTCTCATTGCAGAGCTATAAATTGAAGTGTTTTTCTGTGGTTATTGTATGTATGTAAATGAATGTGGCTGAAGGATAAAACCAAACGCAGCAGATAGCAAACGGATCAGTGCTAACTCGCGACGAAAAACCAAACAATCTCCGTGCAGGTCTCGCTCAAAGCATCGCAACGTCTGTAGGCTAAGTAGTTGCGCTTGACTGCGGCTTGAACCATCGCAACTGCAAAGCAATCAGGATGACAGGCAAGACACTAACAATCTCACCCAGCCCAGCATACTGGGGTGGGAGGCGAGCAGCAACGAAGGCACCGGCCGCAAATAACACTGAGATAGAATTATAGACGAACGACCAGGCAAAGTTGAAGAAGATACGCCGGAATGCTGCTTTGGAAAGATCGATCAGTACGAGCACGCCTTCGAGCGCGGGCCTGACAAGCACGGCATCCGCCGCGCTCTTTGCAACATCGGTGCCACTGTTCATGTGAAGCCCAATGCTGGCCTGGGCAAGAGCGACAGCGTCATTGGTGCCATCTCCACAGAACAAGACCACTTTATTCGTACCGTCCATGATGTCTTTTATGTATTTCTGCTTATCGCCAGGGGAAAATCGTGATTTGACACGATTTGGATCAACTCCAAGCTCTCGGCCAATTCGTTGGACTGCACCGTCATCATCGCCACTGACGATAGAGACCGTGATGCCGCGACTTTGTAGTTCGGCCACAGTTGATTTGGCATCGGGACGGAGGGAATCGTCGAGGCCGAAAACCACCAGTAGGTTCCCATCAAGCGAGACGCAGAAAACCGTCCGCCCTTGGGAGAGGAGTTTTGACGCTTGTGGGACGTTATGAGTATTCAGCCATCTGGAATTTCCGCCCCGAAGCATCCCGTCAGCACAAACACCCTCCATGCCGCTTCCAGTGACCGATTTTACTCCTTCGACATGAGCCGGCTCGGTGCCTTGAGAGAGGAGGTATGATGCGACAGCGGCAGAGACTGGGTGCTTGCTGTTGATGGTGAGGCCAAGAACAAGTGACGCAGCCGATGCAGTCGGTGGTTGAGCCAAATATTCCGCAGCGGCGACAGTCAGGTTTCCTTCGGTCAAAGTGCCAGTCTTATCAAAGACCACATGAGACACCTTGCGTGCAGTCTCGATAGTTTCAGCAGATTTGAAAAGAACCCCATGTCGAGCCCCGACACCACCAGCAATGACAACAACCATAGGAACTGCCAGACCAATGGCACATGGGCATGCCACGATGAGAACTGATATGGCATAAGTGACGGCTTCCGTAACCGCTGTGCTTCCGGAGTGGTGACGGACAGCTATGCCTACCGCTACCTGGACCATGAATGTGATGAGCGTGAGGACGATGATTACTGGCACAAAGTACGAGGCCACAAGATCAGCAAGCTCTTGAATCTTAGGCTTCGAGAATTTGGCTTCGTCGACCATGGCGGCAATCTCACTGATTGTATTCTCTCCTGGCAGGCGTCTCAAACGGACGATGAGCGCACCCGATCCGTTGAGACAACCCGCTATGATATTAGAACCTGTTGACTTTTCGACGAGAACAGCCTCTCCTGTGATATGGGATTCATCTACCTCGCTCTCGCCAGAGATAACAGTACCGTCTGTTGGGATGCGAGAATCTGGCAAGATTTTGAGAATATCGCCATATTGTAGAACACGGGCATCAATCTCGTAGCCCCCAGGGTTATCGTCGTCGACTAGGAGTGCTGTTTGGGTCTGCAACGACCTCACTGAAATTGATTCAACAGCCTTGTGTCTAGAGAAGGCGCTTGCGAGACGCCCGACCATGATCAGAGTGACCAGTAGAGTGCTTGTCTGGAAAAACTCTTCAGTTGACAGCGGATTGCCGCTAACTTGGTATGCGAAGGCGACAACAGAGAAAGTGTATGCCGCCGTGGTGCTCAAGACGATCAATAAGTCCATCTCGATGACTCTGGTGAAAATCAGAGCTTTTAAGGCACTTGTATAGAACGGCCCAGCGACGACAGACTGAACTATTGTGGCCAATACCAGTGAGATCGACCCGTACAACGTTTTGCGAGGCTTGAGTGGTGCCCAGGCAAGTACCAAAACTGGGATGGTGAGAACAGTCGAGAGCAAAGTCATAAGAAATGTTTCCTTGACATGCTTACTTCCAGATTCGAGCTCGGCGTAGGGACGAGCAGGGGCAAGTGTTATTTCCCTGTCGAAGCCTCTTTGGAGAAGCTCACGAGCTCCAATGAGTTTCGCATCGTAGCCTAAGCGAACTGTATCGTCGTCAATTGTGGTCATATTTTCCACACCATACGGCATCTTCTGTTTAACAAAGTCTCTAGCATCACCTGGGACGATGATATCTATGCTCTGTCCCTTGGTGCTAAGCCTATGACAGGCAAACTCCGTTGTCTTTGCAACTTCCTTGATAAGCTCGTCGACGGAGGCTTTGGCGTCGAGGTCAAATTCCGCACGAGCCATCACCAGTGAGGTTTGCAGGTTTTGTACACCAGGAATAATAGAGAGTGACCTGAACAGCTTGTTTTCACAGCCAACACATGTCATGCCCTCGACACTGAGGACAATGTGCTCGGTAGCAAAATCCGCTCTCTCAATGTCTCGCATGCTCTGTTCATGAGAATTACGAGGCTTCAAGGGCTCGTTTGTAGTGCTAAGTGTGCCGCAGCAGCCATCTGACGAACTTCCAGTTGACTTGCAACCTGCAATTATTGTTTTGGTATCGTCTTTGTCGCAGCAAGACTCGGCGCAGTCATCATCAAAAGGAGAAAAGTAGAGGGGTTTTTGGCTACTGCAGCAATCATCTGTAGACACCTTTTTGGCAGTATCAGCCCCGGACTTGCTACTGCAACCCGACTTGGTACCGCCAGAGGAGCTTTGCGTAGAGTTTGCATCCATCGTTGGAAGGACTTTGACGGCAGTTGCCGAACATTGCTTTCCGAGCGGCGTCTTCTTGGCAATGGAAGCATTAGTCGATGGACCACAGCATGATTTGGCACACCCCGTTTTAGCAGGTGCACTGACAGGCCCTTTGCTACAGGCAGTCTTGGAGGAGCATTTTTCTTTAGGAACAGGCATATCTGGCTTCTTGCTGCAGCATGATTTGGTGGCACAGCTTTCCTGCACTGGGGGAGCCCGGGGGGTGGAATCAATTCCATCATTTCCCGAGTCTTTGCCACTGCAGCAGCCTGCCTTGCTTGGGGCATTGCTAGAACAGCAACTGGCTTTGTTTGAGTCCGATCCTTTCTCAATGACGAGTACTTGGGTGTCTGGACTACTGCCACAGCAGCTATCGGCTCTGCCTTCACCGCAACTTGGCTTGTTCACAACCATGGCATTCTTGTCAGTTGTGTCTGTTTTCTTCTTCTTCTTGGTGCAGCTATCTGGCTCCTTGTTAGAGCAGCACCCCGAGGTTTTAGCAGCTCGCAAACTGTGGGAAGAAAGGCTGGCTCGAGGAGAGACTGCTGCGTTGACTGCTCTCAGTGTGCGCTTGGTGTCTGGGGAGCAACAAGTTTCGAGGTTCCGCGCGAGGAGAGCTCTGCAGATACAACCAACAGCGTCAAGAGTTGCAGCATAACGCTCTCGTGCCGCCTTGAGTCTCTCATTGCGCGTGGTCTTCTTTGGCTTCGGAGCCGTGGCTTTGCCAGAGCAGCAGGCACTTGCACAGTTGGACGATTCTGCAGAATGTCAGAAGAAGCAGCTAGGAATAGTGGCGGCCCACGTACCCTTTGCATCTTCATCTTTGCTGGAATCATCTCCGTCTGCATCGCACTCCCTCTCCGCGGCGATATCAATGCATGCAGCTATTGCAAAAATATCAGTAAACATCCCGGATTTGAGTACTGAAAAGAGCTTACTATCACAACAGGCAAACTTTTGCTGCCCATCTTCCTCGGGGGAAACTGGTGGGCAGTACTTGCAAGAAGCAACAGCAATAGATTTGCCGCTCATACTGCGCTGGGTTGAATATTCTGTAGAAAATGCTGATATTGAAAAAGCTGGAGACGAAGTAGTGAGGATTTAAACGTGGGGGAGGAGGGGAGCTCGGAGTCGGTGAAGACGCACTCAAAAGTCCGATAAGATAAGCGAGATGCAGTCCACTGACTCGGGGGCAGCACACGTGTGGCCCGCATACTAAGTATCTGTCCCCATGCGTTGATCTTTTTAAACCGGAGAAAGAGTTTGCAACGCTTTGAATGGTTGGCTAAGCGCGAATTTTCTAAATTGACTTTGGATTCAAGATGATTTTCGCCATGGGGACAGATATCCTGGTCGCACAAGTATCTCAACTACTACGTAACTGATTTGCATCACATTGGAAACCGACTTTCCATCCAGTCTTTTTTGCTTACGGAGGATGTGGGAATATAGGGCATAGGCATCCAAGGTCACGTGGCTACACTAGGCAGCCGGCCTTGGCACTACTAGCATATAGCTCTCCCTCAGCTACAATAGCTGACCTCTTCAGACTTCACGAATACAATTGGTACCACCATATATTCGTACTTCTCATTCGGTACCTGTGATACCGACAGAAGATGTTCCGTTTCAATCTCAAGCCACGGTAACCGCCACATTCGTTTGCTGATCAACCGCGATCGGTCGTCGATGAGAAGTCCCAGAAGTCTTGGCCATGCCAGCTGCAGATGGTTGCGATTCAAATGCAATATTTCCCGCTAACGCTCTCACGTATGAACGGTGAAGAAATCAAGCCTCCGTTGCCATGGTGCTCCCCAGATACTTCGTATCCGAAAGCGAGTGATCCTCTCTGGCTCTAGATGGGGCGGTTATCATATCGCCTGTGCTTGTAAATTGAAGAGATCGATCTTAGGAAAATTTAATTCTAATAAAGGAGAAGAAAAAGACGACTCTCGGCATTTATCAGGGAAGTAAACGAAGACTGCGTATGTTCAGATTAAATGAAGCATTTGTTCTGCGGAGGTGACTCTCTCTTGACAGTGTCTCTGCAGTCTGCACATAGGAACGAACCCCGGGTTAGAGACATGTATATAGATCAACTCGGGAGAATTTCCTCGTTCCAATAGCTGACTGTAAGTTTTTGTGCAATGTCAGAAGAACAAAGAGGAACTGACTTACCGGCTCGCGAGCAATGTGAGAGTCAGGGTAGAAGCAATGAAGCCAGGCTGCTGGCCACTTGCAAGGAAATTTGTGTCCTGAGCCGCGGTGTCGCTTCCTGAAAGGTTGTCAAAACCATCGGCTTATCAAAAGGCAGTGAGTGACCCCCACTGGTCCAATTGATGAGCTGGGTTATTATACAACCTCTCACCTCAAAACCTGGAAGCTGAAATCCAAATTCCATTATCTACTTTTGCTTGCGATCAGATCGACAGAACAAGCCTGCTATACCTTACCGTCCGAGAGGAAATGATGATAAAGATACCAGAAAGGTGCCAAAAGAAAATAGAGCCGATATCAATGGCCATCCAAACAGCCAAAGTAAGTCTGAGCGGAATATCTAAATTCTATAGATATTTATTGACGATCTGTCGTCTATTCAGATCCGCTTGGCTCGGAGAACACTCCTTTACAGCTCACCGGCCTCGACCATTCCGCTTGAAGCTACTGGTTGTTTTACCAGGCTGGGGAAACGGCTACCTACGGATGGATCTCCCACTCTTGAACATGGTACGAATATGGTATGGAAAACGCCCATAGCAATACCGAAGATTGAGGACGGAAGAGCTTCCATCGGGGCTGTGACGGATGTTGAGAATACTGGGCATGACAGCGAGACCAGATTCGCAGCCGGCGAAAAGTTCATTCTCATCGAAATACTGGCTGATGCGCTAGCTCATCCAAGTGTTCCTCATCTTGAAATGCTGGTCGAGCGCACTTCTTGGCCAGACCTGGAATCTGTTCAAAGGAGCGTGGTTGGAACATAAATGGCATACGGTGCAAGGTGTCGAAGAAGAAGAAGAACTGTGAACACCAGCTAGCCGGACGCTTCAAAAAGACCGATACCTCATCGAACCTTCTTGGTAAGAAGCATGACGAGTGCTTGCATGCGGACTTTGAAGGCAGAGGAAATCGCAAGGGCCGCTGAACAGAAAGAGAAAGTAGAAGCTTTGAGCCATGGAGTTTACCCGGAAAGTGACAGAATGGTGGCCGGAAGTAGGCAATTTCCACATGATAGGGCGAGGAAACAAGGGGCGGGCTACGAGGTGGAGCTATTGCCAATCTCGAGGATACAGTTCCTGAGTCGGAGAGCGATGCAAGAATGCAATATGATAAAGTTGAACGTCGTTCAATTCCTTCACCGAGGGAGTTCGACGGGCTGTTGGCGATCTCGGGATTGCTCTCGGGGCAGAGAAATCACCGCAAAGCAGTTAGGGTGTGTAGTCTTGGTCAATCGCTGAATATCGAATCAAAAGCTCATTGCCCCCTCTCGTGAAGATTGTATATCGCGTGAGAGCTGATTCTTTTCCAAACACAACCCCAGGCCGCCAATCACCCGCCTCACATCTGAAAAAAAAAAATTGCTGTATCAAGTAACGAGACCAGATTTTCATGTCATCAAAACAGGCTGGATAGTTCAGTGGTAGAATTCTAGCTTTGGGTTATACCACTCACATGTTAGAGGTCTTGGGTTCAAGTAAGTTATCCACCGTGTGCCGAATACATTCCTTCATGCGCTAATTATGTGACAGTCCCCAATTCAGCCCTTACAGATCGTTCTTTTTTGGCGATTTTTTGGATCGTGCTTTACGCGATCCCGAAGGTCCTTCTCTGGATAGATGTTTAGCGAGCACGGTGACTGGATCAAGCACGCGAGGCGGCTTTCCGATAGCAACGGACTGCAATGCGTATATATATTTCTATTGTCCCTGCCTCTACTAGTTGATGCCGAGCAGATTCGACAAATCGATGATCGGTGGCCATGGTTGTCAGGGCGAATTCTGAATGAGCGTGGGTGAGCAAAGCTCAAGCAATGGCACCGGAAGAGATTCAAAATAGAGGCACGGAATTCAACATTGGCTTGCATCCGGCCTGGCCAGCGTGTTTGGGTTGAGTGGGTTGTTTTTCTTTCTTTTACGTCATATCTAGCAGCTGCTACGGAGATTCTGGACACCATATTGTTGCTGTATGTTTTTGAAGTCGCCGGGATGAGCTGTATTACTCTCAAAGTCGGCGTCGTCCATGGCTTGGTGGTAGCACCAGCAGACAAAGACCGCATGGTGGAACTGCAGCTTGTTGATATCGATATCGATCGGCGGAGGACTCACTCTGAGTCACGTGGACTCACTTGGGTCACATGGCATGAAACCAGTGCGCGGATTGTGCTGCCCGCGGGCTTTGTGCGTAATTTTTGCGATCTTTTCGCCGGACATCGCCACGACCATCACCCATTTGACACATCTTCCCAGGAAAGACATTCAATCAACAACTGACAAAGGTAAGTGGATACGGGAGCAGATAAGTATATAAATCATCTCATTCGCCGTTCTTTACGTTCTGGTAGGTTCTGGTCGCGCTTCCTTTCTACATCTCCCTTTATATACATACCTACCTACTGGTACCTATGATCATCAATCGCAATACAACAAACACATCCCCTGGCTCCTTCCATCGCAAGAACCAACATCAAAGCCCAAGAAACAACAAGTATAAAAACACAGACCGCGAAGACCGCGAAGAGCCTTCGCGATGGACACAACCATCATCCCAGAGAAGATGGCGCCTTCTATGCTGAACATGGTTATAAGCTCATTTATCTTGTCAAACCTGCATTGTCCATCTTGCGTTTCCACCATCAAAAACACCCTTTACGCCCTTGATCCATCACCTTTCTCTGTATCACCATCTCTCGTCTCCTCGGTGGTCACCGTCGAACACAGTGAAGCTCTCCCGGCCACGGAGATACAAGAAGCCTTGGAGAATGCCGGCTTCGAGATATATGATGCTACGGGCGCGCCTATCCTTGCCCTCGGGAAATCACATATGGGATCCGAGGAGGACGCAGGCTACCTTGATCGAATAATTGATAGGTTTTCGTCCGACCAATCTTCTCGCCGGCGTCAGAAGAGACAAACATCGTCCTCTCAGCATGTTCAACAATGCGACGCTTGTCGTACAGGCTTCAGCAGGTCTTCTGATTCAAATTTTTCGTCTTCCGCCAACCTTCGGAATACAAATGCGATGTCTTCTGCTTCCAGTGTCAGTTCTCTAGTAGTCATCGACTCTACAGACTCCCCAATTAAACCGGATCTATGGCGGGCGTCTCTAGCAATTGGAGGAATGACATGCGGTAAGTCAAACTTCCTGAGCGGGTCGCCATAAATGGTTGCTCCCGAGACTTGCAACAAGAAGACATTTGCTAACTCCGAGATGGTCAGCTGCTTGCGTGAGTGCTATTACTGAGGATTTGGAGAAAAAGGATTGGGTCAAGAAGGTCGTGGTCAATTTAATCTCGAACAGTGCTACTATCGAGTTCATCGGGGAGCACCACAAGGACGACATTGTTCGGAGCATCGAGGATATTGGATACGAGGCGGCCATTGACACTGTCGTGGACGCTAATCAGACCAACTCCGTAATCCGCAGTGGCGAAAGAACGATGGAGATCCAGGTTGATGGAATGGTCTGCGACCACTGTCCCCCTCGTGTGCATGCAGCTCTCAAAAGCTTCGGCAACAAGGTCAAGGTCGACAGACCTGTCTCTCTCGAAAATAACATTCTCAAGATCACATACATTCCGCAGGTTCCCCACTTTACCATCCGAAATATCATTCAGGCACTTTCTGAGGCGGACAATGCTCTCACACCTTCGATATACCATCCGCCTACCCTCGAGGAAAGATCTCGACAGCTCCATGCACGTGAGCAACTACGGATCCTAATCAGAGTCATCCTCACCCTCATTGTTGCGATTCCAGCTCTTATTATCGGCATCATATATATGAGCTTGGTACCCGCCAGCAACGGCGGCCGAATGTATCTGATGAAGACGCTTGAAGCCGGTGTGAGCCGTGCACAGTGGGCATTGTTTATCATGTCGACGCCCGTGTACTTCCTCTGTGCTGATGTGTTCCATATCCGTGCTTTGAAGGAGATCAGATCAATGTGGCGACGTGGAAGTCCAACCCCTATTCTGCAAAGATTCTACCGGTTCGGAAGCATGAATATGCTTATGTCACTTGGCACTTCTATTGCATACATCTCATCTGTCGCTCAGCTGATCGCAGCTGCTGTCCAGAGGCCGAAGGAAGTCGATAATTCGGAATTCTACTTCGATTCGGTTGTTTTTTTGACCCTTTTCCTCCTCGTTGGACGTCTCATCGAGTCTTACAGCAAGTCAAAAACTGGAGATGCTGTCACACTACTCGGAAAGCTACGACCAACCGAGGCTCTTCTGGTTGAGTCGGGCAGACGTTCGAGCGAGCACACCCTCATCGACGAGCAGGATGCCAATGGGACACCTTCAGAGACCACGAAGAATGTCAACGTTGATATGCTCGAATTTGGAGATGTCGTCAAAATTTTACATGGAGGATCTCCGCCATGCGATGGGGCAGTTGTTCAGGGAGAGTCGAAATTCGACGAGTCTTCCCTAACTGGGGAATCGCGACTAGTTCACAAGATCTTTGGAGATGATGTATTCTCTGGAACGGTCAACAAGGGCTCACCAATCTCTGTCCAGATCACCGGAGTTGCCGGAGCTTCCATGCTGGATCAGATCGTCAAGGCGGTCCGGGAAGGCCAAACTCGGCGAGCACCAATGGAACGAATAGCTGATGCACTGACTGGCTATTTTGTACCGTTTGTCACCTTGATCGCTCTCATGACCTGGCTCGTATGGCTTGGTTTGGGCATGTCGGGAGCACTTCCAAAGAGCTACCTTGGCACTGATAAAGGTGGAGATACGAGTGAATGGGTGGCGTGGTCCCTACAGTTTGCTATTGCAGTGTTCGTCGTAGCTTGTCCTTGTGGTCTGGCCTTGGCTGCTCCAACTGCCCTTTTTGTTGGTGGCGGTCTCGCAGCGAAGTATGGAATATTGGTCAAGGGCGGTGGTGAGGCTTTTGAAAAAGCCAGCAAGCTTGACTGCGTCGTCTTCGACAAGACTGGAACCTTGACCGTAGGTGGTGAGCCAGTTGTCACTGATTTTGACATTCTTCCTTTTGATTCGGGCATGGATCATATGGAGTCAAGAATGTTGATTCTTGGTATGGTCGGTGCACTTGAGAGCAACAGCAGTCACACCATTGCAAAAGCATTGGTTTCGCTATGCAAGACCCACAAGACCACAGATTTAGATGTGGACCTGGTCGAAGAAACCGCAGGAAGGGGCCTGAGCGGAAAGTTCTTCTTGAAGGAAAGGGGCGCCGAAGCAAAAGTGATCATCGGTAACGAAGCTTTCATGAAGTATAACGACGTTGTCCTGCTCGGCCCGACGCAATCGACAATTGAAAAATGGAAGTTAGAAGGAAAATCTATCGCATTGGTCGCCATCAGTGTCAATCACTCGATGAGTCTCCTCACGCCAGGCTCATGGGAGGTTGCAGCAATGTTCGCCATTTCTGATCCTATCCGACCGGAAGCACCCGGTATTATCAAAGCTCTGCAGGCTAGAGGAACGGACGTCTGGATGCTCTCGGGAGACAACCAGATGACAGCCGATGCCATCGGAACAAAGATCGGCATCCCAACCTCTAACATCATTGCTGGTGTCCTTCCTAGCGAGAAGGCAGAAAAGATCAACTACCTACAGCGATCCTTGAAAGCCTGCACTTCATCTGGTGCGGAGCATTCTACGAATCGCGCTCTCGTTGCAATGGTCGGTGATGGCATCAACGACTCCCCTGCTCTTACGACTGCGGATGTTGGTATCGCAATCGGCTCGGGGTCAGACATCGCTATCTCATCTGCAGAGTTCGTCCTTGTTTCAAGCAACCTCAACTCACTCATCACCCTCCTCGACCTGAGCAAGTTTGTCTTCCGAAGAATCAAGTTCAATTTCGGCTGGGCGTTGATCTATAATCTTATTGCATTGCCGGTCGCAGCTGGCGTGCTGTACCCGATTGTCAGTAAAGGGCATCACGTCAGACTCGATCCTGTCTGGGGCAGTCTGGCGATGGCCTTGAGCTCGATTAGTGTCGTTTGCAGCAGTTTGGCTTTGCGGAGTAGGGTACCATGGATTGGATTCAAAGCGAAGGAGGCTGTTGGTGAGAAAGAGTAAGAGGTGATTATGGCGTACTCCACTGTTTGATTATGGATGAAGGAAGAGAAAGAAGAAGTACCAATATTGCATATATACCCAGTTGGATCGCTGCTAGTCTTTCTAGTGGAAAGCCTTGGCAAGAAGAAATGACTTGAACGATTTTCAACCTCCTTTATGTTTCACTTCCTTATGTCTTCTCCCCATTTCATAACATATTAAGTGCTAATACATCCATTCATATCAACAAACACATGCCCGTCTTCCACTCCGTTCGTACCCCTATATATATTTCAGACTCGACACCGAGTTCCCAATGGCCTTGGCGCTCATATTACCTAAAATCCATTGCAAAGCTTGCTCTTGACAGACGATATTGTAGACGAGTACATTGCATTGCTGCTTCTATTTATCGAGTAAAATCTGGTGGGAAAGGAAAGCCAAGGGGAAAAAAAAGAATTACACGATCCTCACTGCCCACTTCCCACTTCCCATCTTTCCATCCATTCCCCCATCTCCCCCATGATCACGCCTTCTATCCCTCCCCCCCCCCCCTCCTTCCTAC